AAAAAAAAAAGGAAAAAAAAAAGAAGATAAAAGACACATTTTTTCCAGTAACAGCAATAAAGCGGCTGGCCGCCATTTTGGGATTATCGCTGGAGGCGATTATCGTGTGATAATCTGAGTTTCTCGACCAATCAGCGTGCGAGGTTTTCAATAATCACCTGTGTATTTATACTAATAGTACATATTCAACGCCAATGAAGTTTATTATGGCGTTAATGAAAGTATGTCTAACAATCGACATAAATGAAAGTATATTTTCTGTTATTGAACATCGAAAATTCTAATTGTTTTAAAAAATATACAAAATACATACGTGTTTTCCGAATTGTACTAAAAGTACTTCTAATACTGTTTGATATTTCTTCTTCAGGTACGAACAACATATGCGCAAGTAGTCCTTGTCGTAATAAAGGCACGTGTGCTACTACCTACTATGGCTACAGGTGCTATTGTCCATATGGTTACAACGGGACACAATGTGAAACAAGTGAGTCGCTCGTATTAAAACATTTCTAGATTTATCTAGTACTTACTGGGTCTTTGTAAGACATTCTTATGACGGGTCATATAAAATACAGTCACGTGATGAGCAATAGACTTCTTCATCTTGGGTGTAATGTTTTCCCATTTCAGACCAAGTGTCATTCTCTTGGAAATAAGATTCTTTGTTTGAGTTGTATCCATGTTGAGGTGTCTTGTCATGCGCAACCGTTAAAAAAGGAAATGATACTCTTGGGAATGACACGTGTTCTGAAATCAGTATAAGTATCAGTTTCTTTTCACTATGTAATAAAATTCATTGAACCAAAGTTCCGTCTTATTAGTCCTATGAAGGTGTTCTTGTCTTGTGTTGAGCGTTTGACTTGGCCTTGATCGACGTTCAAGAGATTGCTGATCTTTATCTTTGATGACATTTACCCCGATGTCATTGCTGGGAAAACATTATGATGTTAAATACCATATTTTTCAAACCAATTTACTTAATTTGGCTTAATATTTTCTAAGTCCAACTGATTCCATGAAACTCAAGAAAATAATTATATTTTCATGTGCTCTGAGATGGAAAACCGCTGACTTTTCGATCGTACGTTATATGTTTTTTCTATCATTAGAAATCATGCATTCATTTTTAATCTAGACATGTACCCGTGTAACAGTGGCCCTTGTCATAATAATGGTACTTGTAGGAATGGTTATAATGGAAGATATTACTGCTCCTGTCCTAATGGATACAGCGGTAGTCAATGTGAAGCAGGTAA